CAACGGTGGGCGTGCATCTCTGCTTGTTGCTTTGAGTCCCCTTCCCTCCCCAAGTAAAAAACTCAAAAACTGAGTGTGAAAATGGACAAAAAATCGCTTGCGTTCTCTGTTATTCTAATCCTGTTTTCTTATTCCGCCATGGTTCCGATGACAAAATAGCTGCATATATATATATATATATATATATATATATATATATATATATATATAAAGTGGAATGATTTTTTACCAGCTTAAAAGGACCTAGTTTCAGTGTAAGATGGTTTACCCCAACTGAGGTGAAGAAGCGACATATATATATATATATATATATATATATATATATATATATATATATCGCTTCTTCACCGCAGTTGGGATAAACCAACTTACACTGAAACTTGGTCCTTTAAGGCTGGTTAAAATTCATTCCACTTTGTTTGGTTTGTTCTGCCTTTATAGTCAATTATTTAATTGGCACTCGTTGCTTACGCTAAGTGTGGTTACCTTCGTTAACCTTATTGCGTTTGTAGCATTTTTTGTGTAAGTTCTGGACACTTTGTACTTATCGCGGATTCGTTGCTAACCAACTTATTACATATGCTAATTTAGTGACGAGTTTTGTCGGCATAGCCTTATGCTATAACATATATATTTTAATTGATAATGTTATTTCAAGTGATCGGGATTTTTAGATTATTGCTGGTGTAGTGGAGTAGTGTAATATTGTAGGAAGTAGAAGCCACGATTAAACTTTGCACAATAATCTGCCCCGAAGGGAAATCGAACAATGGATATACGGATACCGGTCCGCTGTCCTACAAACTGAGCTACCGAGGACTGACGATCAGGTGAGCAATTTAATACATTACTTCTGATTGGCTGTTGTTTGACATCCCCGGTATGACTGCGCTTGATGCGCATGTTGACAAGGTGCCTACCTGTCTATTACCCACTACCTCGTCCATCTGGCTTCAGGAGACAGTTGGTCGTTGCTGGAGGGGATGGGGTGCACGGTCCTTGTGGTCGTGCTAGGCTCGAAGAGTGGTTCCAGGCACTTAGTGTGGAGCGGACTACGGTCCAGCCACCGCATTGTGTACGCTTGATTCCCTAAATACAGCGTGCTTGTGTTTGCCTGTGAGGGAGTATGGGCCGGCTCCGTTGATGAAACGTGGCTCCCATCCGCATGCCTCCCGGTCTTATTCCTTCGGGTTTACACTGGATATGGGGTGTGTGGATGGAGCTGTGGGTGGTGAAGCGCAAGCCACCTATGGTCCCTCTGCAGGCGCATGCGTCCTGTGGCTGGCCACAGTGACAGGCAAATCCAAAACCGGATGCCGCCAACAATATCGGAAGCTCATATTTGTTTGCAGACGATTGGAAAGTAGTGTATATTCGTTCCATTCATCCGAATATACATAAATGGAGTGGCAAATATTAAATGCGAGTTCCAAGCCATAGAGTGCTAGGCTGTAAAGTGGCAGATGTACTTTTCCACATCAAAATGCAATATCATGACTTATGGATGCCATATTGAGGCAGCCTTAACACTACGTTATGGCGATCCGATTCTAGTTTGATTTTCTGTCCGAGATTTAGGACTGAGGTATTCCAGCGGACACGCAATGCAAGTATCGGGACATATTAATTAACTACTAACGTCGAAAGAGACAATGCGCATTGTCAGAATACTATAGCGTTACGTTGAGCAATTTATGTACATGTGACCTGAAAGCCACCGAGAAGGTTCAACGCGCCTTCACCAAACGCACCTTTGGTTAGTCCACACTTGTTCCTTATAGAGGTAGTGAATTAAAACTTTAGACTTTATGGCTGCGTAGATTAGATATAAATCCTGGTTTCCATCACAAATTTGCGTGGCATAACGTGCAAAGTGAACGCCACTCTATGCTATTTCGGTTGGAGACCGGATTTGAAATACGGGACACGGAATGTATGATTTCGTAGTGCTTGCATTCAAGACCACAGTCATATGACGTTTATCTTGCAAGGTTCAACCTGATATGGAATAAGCCACCTAGTTGTACACGATGTACAAAAAGTCTGAGCGTATAATACAACAAAATTGTTAGGATTTTCCCGACACCAACAAAAGTGAAACAGATCTTAAGCTGGCAAACGAACGACGATAGATTGTTTGAGGTAGGACCAGGTCATATTTGAAGCAGAAAGATCACGGCAACCATTTGTTGACGGTGATTAGTCTATCTCTCTGCGTTTATTTCCAATATCACTCTAAACCCGCTCTAGTTTAACTTGTTTTACACCATCCGCGAATCTCTTATTTCTGACAACTAACGGATATTTTCGTTGCGATCGATGGTCTGGAATTAATGAACTAATAGTCTTCCTATTCTGACGGTTTCAATTGTTGGCCTTTCGGGATAAAGCACTCACAAGTGAAGAGATACTATCAACTGCATTTAGATTATCTTTACTGCACTTTGTTCTTTGCAAAACCCTGGCTAGAATGCAACATTACTTCCGTTCAAAATTTCTGTACCATCGTCATCATTCATTAAGACTTCCCATAAACTTGTGATTGATCTATCTGCAAAAGTTAGTGATTAGTATTACACTTTTTAATTCATCATACTTTATAGTCTTCTTTATTTCGTTGTTGGCCACGAGTGGGTCGATCTCTTAAGACCATGGATTACAGATTTCAAGCCAAAAAGTATACCCATGAATGGCATACCGCCATTGACTCATTGGCATAAAAAGTGGCAGATTTGAATAATCCGCCTGTCGGAACGGGCTGAGGCTTCATCGCGAATAATGCATGCATAAAACAGCCCTATATTAAAAAGACGTTTATGAAACAAGTGATGGCTTACATGCTATTCTGCCACACGGGCATACAGCCAGTTGAAGCATGGAAGTGCAGGTGAAACCCATCGAAGGAATACCCCGCATGGAAGCAGGTCGCTTGATGACGGTTTCATGAATGGCCGTATTACTTTACTTGAAATTTTGGCTAAATCTGCATTTCGGATAAGGCTTTCGTCCAAATTGTTCACAAGCTACATGGCAGAGCCTAGTCCGGAAAAGCGCCAGACGCATTTCGCCCTATTGGGGCTCGTCAGTGGCGCGCATTCCGTCGGTCCTCTAAAGATGATCGAACACAACCGCTAAAGGCAGATGCCAACTAGTCAGCAGCTTAAGTCACTAAGCCATGGGGGACGTTAGCTCGGCTACATAATTTGCAAACTAACTGGGATATGGCACAACCTATCTACCACTGTCACTGACAGTGGTTAGCCTGCTACGTGATGACGTCCTCTCACTAGACGCTATATCCATAGCATTTGAAACTAGGAGAGGCTATTTTGATTTTTATATTACTCGCAAGTAGCTATGTAGCTTGCGAACTATTGGGCTGAAAGCCTTATCAGAATTACAACTAAAATCCTGCTACTTGTGAGTACTATAAATCTGCATTTGTTATTGTTCCCAAAACCCTAATCTCTCTGATATCTTCAAAATGACAATCACTTCTAAAAGCCATTTAGGCTCCATTATACAAAACATGAACAATTAAATGTTATATGCGATCTCGTTGTACAGATTGAGCAGGCCACTCAGTTGGACTGTGCCTCGCACCGTCGAGGAATAAACCCCGTTGTGCATGTGCCGAATCGTGTAATTGGGGTCAGTTCAGTTCCTCTAAATAACTGTGGTTCATGTGATTCGCGTTACCTGAATAATAATACAACAACTACTACTAATAATAGTAGTAATTAATGATGGCTAGAAAAATAAGGACGAGTTAGGAAATGAGTGAAATTAAGTAGGTTGGAATAGTAATAGCCAGATGAAAAAAACTGAATACAGGAACGCCCTTGCGCCATATCCATCCAATAGGGGCACCAACCCCTGATGTGACGCATTTTGAGGCCACCATGCATATGACAAAGTCGCCCGGTCAGTTTCTTCATGTTACTGACTGACTACCTCGAGGATTCGCCCAACCGCGTGCAGTTACGGCATATAATGCACGCCGAGGAGAGCGCTGGTCAACAGGCACATGGAGGAAATGAGACCCAGGCAAACTGGAATCAATGAAGAAGAGTAAATCAAGTATTCTGAGACATATGGGAGATGAAAAGGTAACAGGAACATAGTCAGAAGTGACCCATTCTCATGCAACCGGCCCGGCTACGTACAGTAAATAAGGGGAATCTTGCAAAAAGCTGCAAAGATCGGAATAAACCAAACGGGTCACTGTATGCCATCAGGATGCGTGAGAGACAATGCGACGGAGTAATCAGAGTCACCGACAATGATCATGTTTCCAAATTGAAGAGACAAAAACAGGGTTGTGGGTGATGAATCTGAAGAGCGTTTGATTTCCGACTGTTGGTAGTGAATGACTTTTGGGGCGTGAACTAAATGGATGATAGGAGCGCATGGAAATTGGTGCACTACAGAAAGGGCAATTTATCCGACGACCAAATGATCGGAATGAGCCGACGGCTTTTTGGTGAGAGATAAACGGGGACAAGTTCGCAGGATTATCATAGTCCATAATCAGAAAAATCTCAGAAACGGACACAAGGAATTTCTATTCAAACTAGCAAGGAATTGTACGGACTGAGATCTACTTTTTATCAGGGGGCTCAGCCAGAAGGGGTTGGGATTTGCCTAATGCCCGATGTAAACCTGCCTTTAGAGGGAAATCAGCCAGTCGAGATCAATAACGGTAGAAGTTTCGAAGCAACAAATCAATGCAGTATTCAATAGTTCCTGAAGTAAAGTTGAAGAATTGATGTACAGGGCAAAGGCATAGTATATATACGGATTCGCTGGCTCGTTACTTCGCACGCAAGACGGCCGCTGAGTTGCGAGACGCGAATGCTTAACACCAGTGGAAAAACTTCAACACTCGCAGTGTGATTGTGCGCAGCTGTGGAACTATCGACAGACAGCATAGTGTGTGAGGTATCGAAGACGAGAAAGAGAATGAGCAATGAGAAGAGTAATGAGTTCACCTGACTTACACAAACACCTGTGGCAGCTCACCAGCTGCAGCTTTATTCGCGAGTAAGCGGCGTTCAGCGACTAGAGCATGCTAGGAAGAGAGAAGTAAAACAAGTGGATCAAATGAATTTTCAACGGAGACACTGAAAGCGGATACATGAAGATCTGTTGCATAGCACACCAATGCGGAAGGCTAACATATGTTAGATCACGTGACGACAAAATCCACGAACAAATGAGAACGGGATAATTCGAGGGGAAATGTGGAAAAAGACAAAAAGCATCTAAACAGACGGCGCAGAAACAAAAGAGAACAATCATATTACCATGATGCAGGAATGATGAAAGCACTTTAAACTTGATGCTTCAAATAAAAGAGGGCGACCAGCCGGCGCTTTAAATTGGGATTCCGAGGAAATATACACAAGGGGAATGTGGTGAACGATACACTCGCAGGAATCATGAGTCCACAAAGACTCAAGTAAGTTAAACAATCATAATCGAGGCACCGAAGTGCAGTGGATTCAGTTGCAACCATTCATGTCGCCAGCAGTACAACAGAGATGGTATCGCAAGAAACTGGGATTAAACGTAAAAGGCCGGCTAGCTGAACAACCTCCTCCAGGTGCCAGCTGGGTGGCTCGGGTGTAACCCGTTCCAGCAAATAGTTTGGAGGCAGTGTCCCAGGGCTTGGTGGATTTTCGTCTGGCAAGCGTTCTCCCTACGAAAAGCCACAAATGTCCGTTTAGCAACACTGTGATGTGGCGAATGTTACTCGTCTCAAACTAAAGTCTGCCACGTGGAGAGCTGGATAATTACATCCAATCCACGGACATCAATCGTCTATTCTTACATAGGCGACCCTGTCAAACAGTCAGAAATATAACGGCACACTTACGAACACAAGGTACAAAACTACACCTATGCACAGTTACACACACCGATTCATTGTTATGGCAAACATGTTGTATTTTTGTACATTTTGTTCACACTCAGTTATCATAACACGGTAATGCATATCAAGGCGTGCCTCCGGGTTGCCGAGGTCAAAATGTTTATTCATGTATTTAGGTGAAATGGATTTCAGAGAAACAAGAATCATCATCATCATCATCATAATACACGTTAGCTAGAGGTGGGAAACACCTCAGCTACTGTGCCGCAATACAAAGAAAAAAAGGAGAGAGAAAAAAAACAACTGGTGAAAGCTGGCTGAGCTACCGGTAACGGATGGGCATCGTTCCGGTAAGCTACCAGCCGGCTGCTGTGCACCCAAAAAAATTTATGCAAAATTATATAAGGCTAAGTAATGAGATCGTGGTTGGAAGTGGAGGCTAAGAGGGATGGGGTGGGACAAAGAAACTCACAGCACGAACGCCACTGAGGTCGGCTCCTAGCCATATCAGCAAGTGTGTCCAACCAAACGTGCTCATCGTCTTTCGGACCCCAACCAGGGAGCCGAGACGCTCCAACCGAGGCCAGCTCAGAAGTGAGGGCCTTCATTCCTCTGGACCAAGTCATCGCTTGGCCACCCCTCCTCTTCTTCCATCCACACCCCCGGCGCGCAAACAACGCACGTCGCGGGAGTCGGTGGGCTGGCATGCGTAACACGTGGCCCAGCCATCGGAGCCCGGTGCGTGAAATAAAAGTGCTGAGCGGTTCAGTTCCCTTTCCTGTGCCGTATACAAGGCGTCGGACACGCTCGTTGCTCACGCGGTGTTCCCACTAAATGTGAGCTAAATTACGAAGGCACCGGTGGTCGAACGTAACTAGCCTCTTTAGGTCCGCTGCTTTAAGCGGCCAGGTTTCACAACCGTACAGTAGGGTCGAACGTACTGCTGCATCGTACACTCTACCCTTCAGGGCAAGAGTGATGTCGCGCCGGCGCCATAAGTGGCGAAGGTTAGCAAAAGCGCCCCGAGCTTTTGCTATACGATTCGTGATTTCATCTTCAATCCCACGGGCGCTGATACAACTTCCCAGGTAGTTGAATTTTTGAACGACTTCTAGCTGATCCCCACCAATGGTCAGCGTAGGAGGCGGTCCAGACCAATCTTGGAGAAACGCTTTGCACTTCGATGGTGCGAAGCAAAGCCCGAAGTGACGAACAGCTAGTGCTAATCTGTCCAGTGCCGCTTGGCACGTTTGTGAGCTGTCACAGATGAGGGCAATATCATCAGCATACTCTAAATCAAGAAGTCGTTCTCCTGGGAGTAGCTCCACACCTTCTAAGTCGTGTCCTGTGAACGCGATTTAAATGACTTCGTCAACAGTGAAGTTGAAGAGGAAAGGTGATAGCGGGCATCCTTGTCTCACGCCGCTGGAGATATTAAAGGGCGACGACAACTTGCCGTAAGCCCTCACTCTGCCCGAGCTACGAGCATATAATGCTCGGATGATATTCACATATTTCTCAGGTACACCTTTCCTGAGTAGACAGTCCCAAAGTGCATGTCTATCCACCGAATCGAATGCACCTTTGATATCGAGGAACACGACAACGGTGGGCCGCCAATATATGTGACGGTGCTCCAACAACTGACGCAAGGTGAAGATGTGGTCAATGCAGCTACGACCTCGACGAAATCCAGCTTGCTCTTCACGAATCTGGCTTTCACGAGTGCCAGTCAGTCTGTGAAGGACGACAGAGGCAAGCAATTTGGAGGCGATGGAGATCAGACTGATTCCTCTATGGCTGCCGCATTCCGATCATGAGCCCCCTTTGAAAATTGGGACTATGACGGAGCGGCTCCAATCGGTTGGGACAGTTTCCTGCTCCCACAGTCTCACTAGTAACTCGTGTAAATCATCCACAAGAGCAGGTCCCCGAATTTGAAAAGGGCTGGAGGAAGGTCATCTGGTTCCGCGGCTTTATTTAACTTCAACAGTTTGATCTCATGTTCGACTTCTGAGCGAGAGGGTGGATCCAAAGGAACAGCCCACGGAGCAGGGCGATCACTGGTCGGCGAGAAATCTAACAATTCCGACCGATTAAATTGTCTTTCAAAGTGCTCAGCCCAACGTTCCAGGCGTTTTGATAACTTGTGGATAGGCTGTCCACTCTCGTCACGTATAGTTTCACTAACACCAGGTCTCCTGCTGCCCGTTTCCCGTATAAGACGGAATAACTCACGATGGTTACCAAGGGCAGCGGCCATGTCCATCTCTGTTGCACGACGAGACCACCAGGATTCGCGGTCTATCTTCAGGCTAGCATGGAGTTTTGCCCGGAGCTCTTTGCGAGTTTCATTGTGTTCGCTTCCAGCCGGAATATGCCGGCGAGCATCTATAAGTTCCAAAGACTGTGAAGAGACCCAATGTTCATGTTGGCGATTAGACATACCACATGAGGATTTGCCTGCTGCTAGTAAGGCCTGTTGCATATGAGACTAGTGAGCTTCAATTGCATCCGGTGAGCGTTTATCCAACTCGGATGACAGCGTAATTTGATAGGCGTTCAGAACAGCTGGATTCACCAGTCTGCCGGTGTCAATGCGCTCACAACATCGTCGCGGGCGTCCGCCAAAGCGCATCCGCAGGTCAGCACATACAAGTGCATGATCGGTGTCAACACCTGTGCTCCAAATCGAGCGACAGTTCTGGACGCAGCCTCTCCAGCGGTAACTAATAGCAATGTGATCGATTTGCGTCCATAGCTGGTTCGAGGCTGGTGGGCGCCAAGTCACCCTCCGGCGGGTGCTGTGTCGGAAATTAGTGCTCGCAACAAATAAGCGAGCATCCTCACACAAATGAAGTAACCGCTCATCGTTATCATTACGGGAGCCTATACCATGTTGGCCGCCCAGATGCAGATCATCTGCGGATAATTTTCCAACTTGAGCGTTCAGATCCCCAGCCAGCACTACAGTGTCCGAGCTTCTTCTGTGGCGAAGGAGTTCGTTCAGTTGGCGATAGAAGTCGTCTTTTACCGAGTCATCGCTACAGTTTGTCGGTGCATAGGCAGCGATAACGAATAGACACCTGTTAGTCCCGCGCGACTTCGAAGTTTTGAACGAGCCAGCCAATCGGACCACACACATCCGGCTACTGATTGGAATCCAATCAACCAGAGCAGTTTCAGCCCGGGGACTCAGGGCAATACCAACACCGGCTTGGCCGGTGCTCGAAGCTACATCGTCACCGGATAGGCGCAATGACAAAGTGCTGCTAGTGTCACCTGAAGGGGATCGCAGAGTGAGTACAGAGCTCGAGTCTTGCAGGCTGGTCTCCGATAAGCAGCAGATATCGATCGAGAGGGTCTCCAATGTTCGGGCAAGTGCTGCCTGTTGACCGATCTGAAGCAATGTGCGAACATTGAGGCATGCCAGTCTGAAGGAGGATCGAGGGCTCCAAATGGAAGCCGATGAACTGGAATGGGCCGCTTGCTTGGACATGGGCCTGTTGACAGTGCAGGAATGACGCTCTGCGTTCACCTGTGAGTTGAAACTAAAAGACAAGCGACTATTGAAGCAAGGTGGGGGAGGGCCGAGAATTGGGGGGTTGAAAACAGGGGGGATAAAAGTAAAGCTGGAACGGGACGATAAGGGTGAGAAAGAGCAAGAAGGGGAATAAGAAGATGGGAATGTCTGAGCAGTAGCATCCAAACCCCTATCCACCCTGCTCGATGCAGAAGATAGGGCACCGTTGATTATCCTCTGCGGTGGCCAGAGCATCAGCAATTTGTTTGGGGAAGGATTCATTGTATTGCGTGGGCAGGATACTGTCAGGTTGCCCAGGCCTAGACAGGAGAACGATTAGGGTTCTCAACCAAAGTCTTTGGTTCAAAAACCTGGCCGCAAGGCAGCGGGTTTGGCACTGGACTACAAGGAGTCCGTTTTAAAGAATAAGGAGCCACCCTCATTCTAACCCCAAGCTGAAGGACCAGGAGGCTGAGTTTGTCTGGCTTCTAACCATTGACCAATCTGGTATGAGTGGCTCTGAAGGTGCAAAAGCACCACCCAGTATAGCTCAATGGATCACTGAGGCACACAAACCATCGCACCACGGTAAGGTCCAGCCTCATTGCGATGGGAGAAACAAAACTAATCGGGATGGAATGAATATTAACGACCAGATGCCAAAAATCGAGTG